TTAACTTTAATTATATCATAGTAAAATTATGTTTGTATTTTCCTTTTTCAGTAATCATTTATTATACCGAATAATTCATTGTACTATACTGAATAATTCGTTATAGTAATAATGAATTTTCTTATAACGAAGGGCTGATTAGCCCAAATGCTAACTTCATTATATTGAGGTGTGACTGTATTTACTTCTGCTTCTGACTCCTCCTTTTGAGAAGTTACTTGTATTTTAGCTCAACCAGTTCTTTGAGAGGGACTAATATGAATATCTGATCTTTGCTAAAACTATATCCATCTTTAAGACACTGATGACCCTTATCTTTTTTCGTTCTATCTGTTAAGATCTTGAGTAATTCTGGTGTATACTGATTAAGCTCTCTATTACTCATCTTTGGGTTGAGTTTATAGTCTGTAACATATTTTGTTATAATAATGTAAATAAAGATTATAGATCAACTATTAGATTGTGCTAAACTGTTAGATTATATTATACATAAAAAGTTTAATTCAAAAATATTCCTAATAATTAACTACATGATCCCTCTAAAACCTATTTATAGTTAATAAAATCAGATGAGCGAAAAAAATAATATAACCTATAACCTAGTCGAAAAGGGTATTTTATCAATTTGAAATCTGCAGGTAGATATGATATGCGAAAAAAATATATAGTCATGAAATGGGAGTTCCATAGCTATAAACAAATTTCCTATATTGTAATTATGTCTTAGTAAAGTGCTTATGTTAGAGCTAATATATGTTCTGGTCTTAAAACAGTGAATGCATCATATAAAGTGCCCGGTCTATACTTCAAAGGGGCTAAATTCAGATGATAGAGAAATTTCATAAGAGTATCATTTCTCTAAGCTTTCATGTCTTTACAATCACAAGACATTTTGATTAGTATAGTCAAATTATTGCTGGGACAATTTATTTGCATTGGATTCTGAAATGATGATTGTCTATTTTTTTTAAGAGGAAATAAACCCATTCCACCTTCAATAGCAGATTCTACACCTTTTATGAATATCTGATCTACAGTGAACTCTTGATATAACGAATTCTAGGATCTGGATATCAACTTCATCATAAGCTTATAACGAATTTTTTAGAGAATTTAATTGGTTAGTTCACTATAGTAAGGTAATTTTAATATATTTGATTTAAAAATTCGCTATATCAAGGGTTCGCTATATCAAGGTTTGACTGTATTTGCTAAGATAGATAAAGGCAGAATTAGGGTTGGGTGATAGAAGTCGGCTAAGATATCTAATTCAAATTCACTAATGTATATGATTCCAATGTCTTCTAAATAATCTGAAAGTCTATCAGCGTATCTAAAACCTTCTTAAATCAGCTTCTGGAATAGCTTTCCATTTGGGTCAACTCATCGGCTAGCTAGTATATTAATGTAATCAGGTATATGTATTTTAGGTAGTCTTCTGTGTAATCTATTATATAAATATTGGCTGAAGACTACCCTATCACTAGTATGTACTCAGATGTGACATGAAGGCTTCTGCAAAATTATATTATATAAAAATGGCAGAAGCTTTCATTTAAACTTAATAAGCAAATTGTAGAAGAAAGGCATTCAGCTGTATCTGAAAAATGAAGTATTCTCTGTAATTATATTATATAAAAATAGGAGAAGGCTTCACTTTTCTAAATATGTATTCAGGTATAATATAACCTTTATGTAATATAAAGATATAATTAAAAAGTGATATAAAAAGAAATGATAGCAAACTTATTAAACAAATTGAAAAAGAAAGGCAATAGGATATATATCCAGAGGATAAGTTTTCTTCATAATCATTATATAAAATATTAAAAGAAGACTTACCCTATCACTAGTATGTATCTGGATATATGTATCTGAAAAAAAAGTCTTCTGTGTAATTATATTATATAAAAATGGCAGAAGACTTATATGTGTTCGAATATATATCTAAGTGAAAAAACTCAGTATCTTTTGCAATAGAATTTAGATAATTTTGGCCAACACTATTCCACAATTTCGGCTAGAACTTTGGATATAATATTTTGGCATCCAAACTAGCATAAAACTGGCGAACTAATAGAACCTCTCTAGCTTCCCTCCAGTTCCATAACAGTCCAGAAGAGTTTAATGATACTACCAGAACGCTATTATAACACCAAATTGGATCCTCAAATCACATGTCCAAAAGATCGACCAGAGTACCATAAAGCCAGCAAAAATTAATCGCAAATACATTGCGTCACCTGTCACCTCTTTTTTTATACTATTTTAGTATTTTAAAAGGCAATCAAACAGGTGCAAAAAATAAGCATCCTCGATATCTTAACAGGCTACTAAACAGGCTCAGAAACAGGTAAACAAATAGATAGCTCTTTAGGAATAAAAGAATACAGAGTAATGTAAACACATGAATAGTGTCTTGATAAAAGAAAGGCTATAGATAATCAGGAAAATATACTCCATCAGATTATAATATTACTATTAGATCATATAATAACCACACCAATAGAACGTAACATTACCAACCCACTATAACTCTATATAGTAGGAATTAATTAAAATAGTAGTTAAAAAATTGTAAAAATAACCAAATCATATATTATAAAGCCACATGTAGATTATGTTATCACATCAAATTATGATATTAGATTATGACGTTACCGCTAGATTATGATATTAAATTATACCACCACTATTAGATTATACCATCATCATTAGATTACATCAACACCATTAGATTATATCACTACCGTTAGATTATATCATTATGATCATAATCTAACTCAAGTCGCCAGAGGCTATTTGATATAATTATATCAAATATGCTCTGATGACTGCATCTTTTAATTCAAATTTATTTGGTAGAATATATATATAAAAATAATAATTTGAATTTGTTTGATAATAATAATTTTCTTAATAAGTTTTATCATAAATTATAATGATATCAAATCTTCTATTATCATATTCTTTAAAATATTCAGCCATAATATTACAATACGATTCTTCTTTTAGTATTGTATAATATCTAACTTTATTAAGTAATCTATCTAGCATTTGATTTAATATGTAGAATAATTAAAAATCTTAATCAATTCTTTATTTGTAAGAGTATTTTTATTTATATTTGCTATTATTAATTTCTTCAAGTTTAATTATTCTAATATGTAATATATCACATACTACCAAATTCAAATTCTTTATAAATATTAAAAGATCATTTTTCTTTAAATAATTCTTGATAAAATTGATTAATAGAACAAATTCTATGTTTACTTTGTAATTTTTTTTTGTCTTTAAATTTAATAATTGTAATAAATTCATATAATAATAATACAATAACTTTCTTATCATAAAGAATAAGTAAATCTATTTCTAGTTATATATCATTTACAAATTCTTCAAATCTAAAAAACTATAATTTTGTATTTTTTTTAGCTAAATATAATAAAATACTTTTATAAAGTTTTTATAGAAGGATATTTATGTTTCTTTTAATATTAAATAGTTTAAAAGTTTGATATATTTCAAATATTTTAAGGTAGTTAATTTTTCTTTTAATTTATTTGTAATAGTAATATTATTCTTTGAATATAATAATTCTAAACCTTTTTAAAACTTTTATTCATATTTTTAAATTATAAAATAGAAAATAGAAAGAGAGAGAAAATATAAATTTAATCATTTAATATTAATGTTAATTAATTATATATTTATTGATATATTATAAATAAACTGTGTGAATATATAAATAGCAAAGAATATAACTAATACATATAAATACCTAACTTATAAGTAGATTCTATTTATTTAAATTCTAATTATCTATTTAAAATAAATTCTATTTTATTTTTTTATAATTAATTATTAATTTATTGGATTTTATAATTATAGTATTTATGTAAATTATTTATATTAATTTTTATCTCAAATCTTAATAACAAATCTTAATAAAACTATAATTTATTAATAAAAAAAAATAGTAATCAATTAATCTTCATTCCAATGATCTTTCAAATGCTCTTTTAAATTGGGAATATTTTTTATAGATTTCATATTACACAAATGACAATTTACAGAAGACTTTAATAAATTCTCATAATATGCTTTATCAAACTAGAAATCCATTAGAAAATTTAGTATTAAACATTATTATAAAATAAAATACAAAATAAATTACCTTGATAAATCCTTGTTCTTCTAATATCTTTTCAATTTCTTCTACATCCTTAAAAAATTCGGTTGTAAATGAATTCCAATGTTTCTTATTTTTTAAATTTGGCGAAATAAAATCTTGTGAAATCACATGCATATGAAGCTGCCTTTATAATAACAATAAATATTGATTTTAATATATTATTATTAGAAAAGACTATTATATTAAATGATACGGGAATATTACTTTAAGCTTTGAATAGCATGAAATCCCATTCGAAAATCCAATTTTGGATTGTCTTGTTTCATCCTAAAAAAAGAATAGAATTGAGTTAAAAAAAAAATGATGCAATTTTCACGTAGATTCTATCAGAATAACTTACTTTTTGATCATCTCCTGTCCTTTCTCTTTCAATTTTCTTATCAATTCTAAATCTTTTTTCTTCAATTCTTCAATATTATCAATATGCTTTCGTGGAATTACTAATAAATGTTTTTTCGCTTTAGGATATTTGTCATAGATAATAACAGACTCATCATCGTAACAATACACTTCAGATTTTGGAAATATTTCGGGTTGTTGACAATATGGAAATAAAACGTTTGCCCATCCTCCACCTCCCAATTTGGGTAAAGGTCGTTTTAAAGAAGATTGAGATGAGCTTGTTGAAAAAGGTTTGCTTGACGATTTCATTATGATGTCAACTAGAAATAAAAAAAAACATGAAAATATAAATAAATGATATAAACATTTAAAATGTGTTTTTTTATTTGGAATAAATTTAAAAGATGAAAATTGAAATTTCTTACATGCAGACTTGACTTGTAAGTTTCCCTTCTTTATTGTAACAGGATAATATTCCCTTCCATTTTTTAACTCTAAAAACGCGTTCATCATAGAATTATACGTTTTTTTGAGTAAATCTTTTGCTTCATTGAATGAAACTGGGTTGGATCGTGATGGATTCATATTTGGTGATACTACAAAAATAACCTAATAAAGGCATAAAATGTTAATAATTCGTTAAAAATACTTACACAATGAGTGTAAAATAAATAATAAGACCTGTTCAATGCCTTCATCTGTATGTAGAATCGAATCTTTTGGAATTGATACAGGATACGATTCACCAACCTACAAATAAGATTTTCTAAATCTCATTCATATTTTTAAAGAAAAATATCATGAACAATGTTAAATACCTACAATACCGGGATTTGGATATAACCGTTTTACTTCTTCAGGGAACTTTGACCCAACAGTATTAAGAATTTGTTTGCTTAAATGATTTGTATCTGGAATCAAAAATACGAATAATTTATTATTATTATTATAATATAATAACATATATTTATTTATTTTTTTATATTTCAATAATTAAGTTAATAGTCGACATACTTAGCTTCATTCTCCAAGTTATTTCTGCAACAATGTACCTTTTAACATAAAATAATTATAATATTTCAATTTTAATATTTCGAAAAGATAAAAATAAAAATAAAATACAATAAAAAATTAAGTCAACTTTAAATTGGATATTAACCTACACTCAATTCCCAACTCATCTTTAATTTGCAATAAATTTCCATTTTTAATTTGGAATTTAAGATCATCTAAATCATTCTTGATCTCTTTCCATTTCTGTATAAAAATTAATTCATTTTACCTAATTGGCCATTAAAAAACAACAAAATAATAAATTTATAAATTACCGATTCAAAAGCATTAAGGGCTTTGGTATCATTATCAATTAAAATCAATTCAAAATCGGTCTCATTATGTAAATTTAAAAATTCTTTTATTACCTATTAAAAATTGTTATAAGTTTCATTATATTTTAAAATCGTTTTAATTAATAATTATTATATTACGACAAACCTCACATCCGATTTCCGCAGCAATATCAATTGGAAATTCGCCAAAACTTGTAGAAATAGAAGGAAATCCAAGTCGAATGACTTGTTCATCCTAATTAAAAAAATTAATAATCAATCAATAAATATTGAGGTAAAAAAAAGATAGTGATAAGAACCACTTTTTTTCGTTTAGAAATCCTCGCCAAAGGATCAGAAAAACTTGAAGTTTGCTGAATGTCGTTAGGACGTTTATCCATATTTAATCTATTCTAAATGCATTTTATAAATGAACAGGAAAAAGGTTTAAATATACATAATAAATTATAACGAAAAAATGTGGCTGAAACGTATCACGTGGGTGTGTAATCATCAGAAATGATAGAAAAAATTTTTTTTTTTTAAAAAAAAAAAAAAAAATCAGTTTCCGTTTAATAATTTTTCATTCCGTTTGTGTTGAAATATAATAAGAATGGTAAATATGTAATGTTAATTTAAATAATTAAATGAAGAATTTGATAATTATAAAACTTTGGAGAATAGAATTAGAAATGAAGCAAGATGGTTTGGTAGATAATACGATTGAAAAATAATAAGAAAAAAAAATATTAACGGAATTAATTTATACATATGATTTTAATTGAAATAGCCTTCAAGACTCAAGAAAAACAGAAAGAAACGCGGACACGTTTCTGCAGGTCATGGACGTATCGGTGAGTAAAAAATTAAGAGTTTTCTGATGTGAATCAATTTTTGAATCAATTTTAAATCAAATTTCTTTTTTTTCGTCTTCCCTCTCCGATCATAGGGAAACATCGCAAACATCCAGGAGGAAGAGGTCTTGCAGGTGGTTTACATCATCACCGTACCAATATGGATAAATACCATCCAGGGTATTACGGTAAAGTTGGTATGAGATATTTTCATTTGACCAAACAACAATATCATTGCCCTATTGTCAATTTGGACAAATTATGGACTTTGGTAACTGAACAAACGAGAAAAACTTACGCCAAGAAGACAGACATTGTACCCGTTATTGATACTTTACGAGCGGTAAGTCGGAAGAGGAACATTTTTCAAAATTCTTTTTAAAATATTTGATTTATTTTAATTCGTTAATTTTTTTTCATTTTAACGAATATAGGGATATGGTAAAATATTAGGTAAAGGTAAATTACCTAATCAACCCGTTATAGTTAAAGCAAGATATGTTTCAAGAAGAGCTGAAGAAAAAATAAAGAAAGTGGGCGGTATCGTTCAATTAATAGCATAAACCAAATAAATGACTATTACGTTTCAACATAGTTTGATTTTTTAATTACTTTATTAATCATAAAATTCTTGACAATAAAAATTTCAGAAAATTGTTATTTGCGAGAAATAAAAAGTTGGGATCGATTTATTACGAAAAATTTCTTCACATGAATAATGATTTCTATTAAACAATTTGTTCTAATTCTCTAGCATAATTAAGTGCTTGTTTAATGATATTATCCGAAGGTATTTCGATATGATCATCATCTTTGGTAGTAAAATGTATTTTCTTTTCAGCTTCACTAACATTCCAACCACGCTAAATCGGATTAAAATATATGAATAAATCTTAAAAAAAAAAATTTATAATTATAAATATTGCTTACCTCTCTCGCAAAACTTAAGAGTTCATTAGTATTATTCTTGAAAAATAACAAAGTAGCAGCATCAGCTAATGGTAAACAAGAATAAGCTTTCTCGCTGCAACTAGCAATTTCACTCCTACAATTGATAAAATTATAAGTAAAATATTCTGATCTTTCTTTCAAATGAATATCGGTAATTACCTGATAGTGCCCATCAGAATATCAATGTAAAACAGGTATTCGGGTGCAGGTACTTCATTTCTTGAATTCCAAACTTTATTATAACTACCTTCCATTAAATATTGTTCTAAATGAACAGGATGTTTAATGTAAATATTCTCTAAGAGCTGTTCGGGTTCAATGTTCTCTAATGCTGTATGAAATTCTGCAATTCTATTTTGTGATAATAATCTCAATAAATTTAATCCTGTTAAAGGATACATTGATTGTGAAGGTGGAAGTAATGAACTATGATAAATTGAAAAAAGTAAAATCTTTAAGAATCAAGATATATATAATTCTTTTTAAAAAAAGTAAAAGTAAAAGTAATGTACCTATAATCGGTATAATAAGTGTTTAATTGTGCTATATATCTCTCAAATGATGGTATATCTTTAGCGCGAACGCTCCAGTACGCACCAATTTCCAATATATCACCTATCGATCAATATAACTATTTAATAATTAAAGTTCCCTTAAAAATATGTTCACCTATTGTTTACATACGCGCAACAAGGAGTTCATCTGAATTATTAATCTCTCCTTCCGGAAGCAAAAGTTGCATTTCAGATAATGCGATCTATCAAATGAATTTTCATTTTAACTGTTTATAGTTTGATGTTCACAAAGCACTTTGTTATTATAAAAACCTTGAGCTTAGCTAGATAATCTCCACATTTTTTCAAATCTGGATTTGGAGAAGTAAATTCACTCTTAAGTGTGTTATAAAGTATTGATGCTTGTTTTATATTGGACGACATTTTTAATAATTCAAAAGAACGGTATTTCAATTAATTTGTATAGGGGTTAAACTTTATTTTAAATTAGCACGTGATTATTAATTATTTCTGATTGGCTATAATTCAAAAATAATTCACATGACTTTGTTAATTTTTAAGATTAAAGTACAACAGTTTGTTTTGATTATAATTTATTTAATTATTTAAATATGTATAATAAGCATTAACTAATTTATATAAAATGTGATTAAATAAATATTAAAGTAAAACAAATTGAAACAATGTCAATTTCCAATTGATAAATCATTAAGTGCTACACAAATAGCTGCCTTATGATGTCCATTATATTGTCTTATTGTCTCTCCTTGCTGCAACTCCCAGAGTCTTGCAACATGATCTGAAGATGCTGTTTATATTAAAATATCATTCAAAGGAATTATAAATAATAATAATAATAATAATAATAATTTCAAAATATTATATAAGAATATTCACCTGTTACAAGATAAGCGGAATCGGCAGAAAATGCACAATCCCATACCCATCTTTGATGACCTTTTAATTCTTTGTCCAATTTGAATTCATGATTCGTAGCAGACCATATTTTAACCGTAGTATCTGCAGAACAAGTCGCCAAATGTCTTCAATAATAATAAATTTTTAATTGCAAAATATCAAAAATTAAATAAATTCTTCAACAATACGAATATCTACAAACATACTTAACATCAGGGCTCAATAAACATCGAGTAATATATCTCTTATGTGCCGAGAATTTCGTTATAGGTTGTAAATCTGTACAATCTCTCGCATTTGACATCTTCCATACATAACAATTACCCTATAAATTCAAACGCTGTGCTTAATTTTTAAAAAGCATTGTATTTTTTTTTAACCTTTAAAAAAGGGGAAAAAATGATGGTTTATTACTTTATTATTTGCTGCCACTAACATAGAACCATCAATAGCAACAGTAACTGAGCGTAGCGGAACATCCTCTTCTGGGACCTAAAAAAAACAATAAATAGGTTGAAAACTTTCGCAGCGCAAAAATTAATTACTTTAATAACTTTGAATCATACATACCAATTCATGAGTACAAGAATTTTCTCCCAAATCCCAAATCTTTATACTTCCCTTTTGATCACAAGAAATCAATTCGCCTTGATTTGGATGAATCGCTACATCATTAACAGGTGACTTATGATCATAATTACGTTGTATCGATGGAGCTCTATATAATAAAATTAACAATTTTATTATACAGGTAATTATATTAAATTTAAAATTAAAATAAAATTACCTTGTATCCCAAATTTTTAAGGTTCCATCTTCGCTACCAGTTACCATCCATTTTCCCTCACAGTGAAATCCAACAGCCGTTACATTTCCCGCATGTCCGTCAAAAGATGTTATCTAAAAAGTAAAGAATTTTGAAAATTAGATTTGAAATCAATGTATATAATATAGAGATTAATACGAATCACGAACCGGAACAATATTATACCGGATTAGGATTAGGGCTGTTAATATCATATAAGCGGATATGCTGGTTTCCTAAAAATAAGAATATTAAAAACGATGTTTATACTTTTTTTATTTGAAGAAAAATAAATTACCTGCTGCAGCAAGATACCTTTTGTCTGGAGAAATACATAACCTGTTCACTTGCTATTTTACAAATTTTTAACGTTAGCAAAGAAATAAGGTTAATAAAATATTATATATAATTTTATTTTTACCGAATCGGGGTGTTGAATTGTTCTTGAACAAATTCCACTTAAAGCTTCCCAAAAACGTATAGTATGATCATATCCAGCAGTTACTAAAATTACTGAGTGCGAGTCTTGAGGTTGGTTATACTGTTGTTGTGCATAATACTGGTGTTGTTGAGCTTGATAATTATTATAGTGAGGTCTCGAGTGATGTTCTGCTCGTCTCATAATTAAAATTTTTTAAAAAAAACTATAATGGCGTTTACAGTTTATTTTGTAGCCCGGATGGTGACAAATCATAATTTATCTGGTTAATTAAATTGATAATTTATAATATCGATATATTTTATTACAAAAAATCTATAAAATGATGAATAATCTTAAAAAAAAGTTTATTTTTTTAAAAACTTACTAAATGTTAATAATTTTTTTCAATCATTTTCAGTTACAGTTGTAAAATATTTCGTCACATTTAGTCAGCATAGATACAAAACATGGAAATATGATACAAATTGACTTCAATGAAGACGACGATATGCTGGTCTTGGGACTTATTATTCGGACTTGATCCTGTGACTTATTACGATCGTCCAATCACGTGATAGCCTCCTATGACAATACACAATATATACGTGTTATAAAACCGCCGCGTCAAGTACAGTCGCGTCCGAAAGTGACGCCCGATTTAAAATTAATCCCAAAAATGGCAAAACTTTATTGATTTTCATTAAAATTCACATAAAAATAATTACTAAACCTTGCTTCTAGTACTGCATTTATTCTTTGTTGCATTAAAGCAACAACCTCTTCAAAAATAAAGCAATCCAAATTTTCCCATTCTTCACTTAGTGCAATTTTAAGTTCACCCACAGTTCTTGGAAAAACCTTACAACTCTGGATATTGTCCTTTAATTGCTTCCAGATGTTTTCTATTGGATTTAGGTCAGGAGAATTTGCCGGCCAATCAATAACCACAATTTTTTTCTTTTTCAACCAATCTTTGGTTATTTTCACAGTATGAATAGGCGCATTATCCTGTTGAAAAATTGCAGCCCTTCCTGTTAACTCATGAACTGTATGCTGAAATGGATATAAATATGAACTTAGGATTTTAATGTAAGTATTTGAATTGATTTTTTCATTTCCTTATTTATTTTCATCACAAAAAACTAATGGTCCTTTTATCTTTCCTGCAAAACATCCCCAAATCATGACTGATTTTTGACTACTTTTAAAGATAGTGTCAAGCATTTAGTGTTAAGCTTTTCCCCTGTGTGTCTCTAAACTCTTATTCCCTATAAGAAATCAAAATAAGGAAATGATATATTTTTTATAAGGTTTGTATACGTAATTAATGATTCCGTATCATAATTCGTATGTTTTATAATGATTTATTTTTTAGAAAATTGATGTATACAGAATTATTAAGGAATTTAAAATAATGTATAAATTTTATGTAAAATAAAAAAAAATAAAATAAAATAACTAAAATAACAATATTATACATCCAATTGAATTTTTTAATACAAGTAATATTGAAACTTTTATGTAAGAATAAGTGTATACAAGTAATTTAACATGAGGAAAAATCTTTGATAAACAGATTATGCAAACCAAAATTTTTTTTTTGTACTTTGAATGTGCAGATACCAAATTAAGCTTGAATATTACATTTGTGATGATTCTAAGATTTTTTCTATTTTGATCATCATATTTATCGATCTATAAACAAGATTTATTAGTGAAATAAGCATGATCAGTCACCACCTTGAATTTTAATTGGCGACAGTTTTGTTAAACCCAATTTCACTGACACAAATAATTTTCAATGCATTTTTGACGATAAAATATTTCTAATTGAAGAAATTTTTCTTTCTGTTAATGCAGAAGATTTGTTTTCCTCATGTTCACTCCTGAAATACAAAAAATTTTTCACAAACATGCTGTTGATTCAAGATCCTTTAAATATCTTATATTTTCAGAATCCAAATTTTCTAAACTTTAATAAAAGATGGTATGCGTCAACTCTCGCCAATCTAAAAACGTTTGTCAAAGGAGAAAATTACAAAGAAGAATAAAACATCGTAAAAAGAGGTATACCTATTCTAGTAGATATCTAATTTACTTTGCAATAATATGTGATTTCAATGTTTATGAGCGGTACGTTTACCATTTGATGTGTATTTTCATGTAGTATGAGTGGCACGTCGTGATACTGACGTGTATTTTTACTTTAGTTTTGCATATTGGCAGTAATTCAGATAGCTATAGGCAGTGATGTCCATTTCCTATGTCCCAAGCATTTGCTGTCCTAGCTATATGTCCCAACTATATGTTCCAACTATGTCCCATATATGTCCCAAATGTCCCATCTGTCCCATCAATGTCCTATCAGTGTCCTATCAGTGTTCTAACTATGTCCCATGACAACACTGGCTGTATGCATACTTAGTTTTTATAAATAACTAGTTTGCTACCAAATTATCTATCCACTCAAACTTTTTTTTTAGGTTTCAAAATCGAGTTGATTCTGAATTTGAGAAAATATTGGCCTTTTTATCCAATTGAAGATGAGAGATGAAACTCAAAAAAAGCAATTAATAAACAGCTGAAATTATATTAGAACATAATAAGGGATATGATG